TCTCGAGCTGGCTGCTGCCCCCCAGGCTGGGAGCACTGGCAGCAGCTCTGGCAGCTCTGTGGTGGGAGGGGTCTCCCCGGGCTGGATGGGCCATGGCTGGTCTTTGGCTCCAAGACCTTTGGGGTCAGCCTTGCACATGAGCTACAGGAGAGGATGATCTGTGCATCTCAACAGACGATCCCTCTGTCTTGGCATCCAGTGCTACCCAAGAGGTGCTGGCAGCCCTGGCTGAACTGCCCACCAGCCCTGTCCCAGCGCTGCACAAACGTGGCTCGTGCACACGCGAGTCCTGTGCTACCCAACTCGGCCCTGGGATGGTCCTTCTCCACCTCAGAGCTACCCCTTTACGAGCCAGTCTGTTGTAGTATGTTTCAGCCCAACATAGTAACTGGAGCAGAAAAGGCTGTAAATCTAATTACAAAATAGAATTGACCTCTGATGAACATCATAAAGCATCAGTGGAAAAATCTATGGTTTGTTGGACCCGTTGAGCTCTACATTTGACTGAAACTCGCTACCAAACCCACAAATCTTTGCCTGTTAAGCTCAAACAATTCCTGACCAAGATATTTGACTGGCCTCATATGTTTCAGTGCTGACATACCTGTATGTACAAAAAGGAGCCCTCCAACACTGCCACCTAAGCTACTGTTTCTGTGGCAGGAACTCTTCACCCTTAAGCAAGGATGAATCCAAGTAAAATTACACTTAAATCAAACGTGGGAAGAAGTCACGGATTTCCTCTGCCTGTGGGGAAGAGGAGTAACACTGAACTAACCATGTACACCTTGCAATGATAAAATACTCCCTGGGGTTAGTGTAAATAGGGTGTGTGAAGCGACACACGACCACCACAGAAGTTCTCTTGGTGGACAACAGGCAAAGAAGAGCAAATACAAAGCCAGTTGTGCCATGAAACAATGCTGGAGAAAGACAACCTGCCGTAACCTCGCTTGCTCGTGAGACCAAGAGTCTAGGAAGGGGCAACAGAGGTTCCACAAGGGCATAGGTTTGCTCCTGACTCAGCCCAAACAAGAGAGTATTCACTGCAGAAAGGGATTTAGTAAACACCTGACTGTAGCAGTTACAACATGAACTTAAGTCAGTTTGCTTTTCATTTTAAGTCAGTCTTACTCTGCACAGCTCCTGAGCCTTCACCCTTTCATTCTCAAACGGGAATGGCCAACCACCCCGGGAGCAAAGGAATTCTGTTTCTGAGCTTATTTTGAAGCATGTGCACTGGCAGTGCTAGGCAAAGCAGACAAAAAGGAACCAGAAAAGCACAGCCAAAAGCAGACACAAACTTCGGGGAGCACCTTGGGGCGTTTGACACGTGGTGGCTGGCAGCATAGCTGAATAAAGTCCGTGTGCTGTGGAAGCCACAGTTACACTGAGCAGCTCCACACGAGCTCACACCCGAGCGCTCAGAGTACGTACAGAGACAGCCCCTAACGCCTGACAAATACAGAGGGGAAAAGAAAAAAGCATCTAAAAAAGAGAAGGAAAAAACAGAGTAACGGGGCGCCCACATGGCTCTCGCAGAGAATCACAGCCCTCTCATCAGACACCGCGTTTCCCAGCCCGAACCCCTCTGCTCGCAGGCTGGAGCTGGAGCTCTGGATGGGGAGGACACCCTGGATCAGCCCGAGGGGCACTCAGCTCAGACGAGGCTGCAGCAACATCTGGCAGTCACAGACTTCTGCTCTGTGCAGAAACATTGCTGCCTCTTGGCATAGGTCATTTTCTACAAATTCCCCCACATCCAGGGACACGTCCCTGTGCACATGATGCAGGAAAGGCTTTATTTTCATTTGGCTACTTCCAATCAAATCACTCCTCAAATAAACATAAAGTACCTTTCTCTGTTACCCCAGAGAAGCCCGGGAGAGGTCTGACTGCCCTGGGCAGGGCACACAAACACACCCTGCCATCACTTCCCTGTCTCGCTGGGATGGATGTGAGCAGTATCCAGCAGGATCCCCCTGCCACGCACGTGCTGTGTGATTTTAGTGTACAGATCTCTGCAAGCCTCTCCTCGAGCAGAGCCACCAGGAGCTCTCTCTCTCCCAGACACTCACTGCATATTCTTTTATTTTTGTTTTAAAAAAAAGGAACTCACGATTCCACAACGCCGTTTTTGTCTCACGCAGAATCAGCCCCTTTGCCCCTTACCCTATGACCTGGCCCTGCCAAAGGTGCAGGCAGCCAGGAGCTGCTCTGCCCCCGCAGGCTCAGCCCAGCCCCACGGCAGCTGGGCACACGTCCACGGGCCCTTGGCACGGGGCTCTGACGTTCCTTCACAGCCTCACAACCTGCTACACCCAACACGAACCCGACAAAGCCCGCGGGTAACGGGCTTCCTCCAGCTCTTCAACCTGCTGTGGGCACCCCAAACCAAACCTGCCCAGCCGCTGCACCCTCTCTTACCAGGCTCTGGGGAAGAGCCATGAAGGTCAGATGGGTTCCCCAACAACCAAACCACCACTGACTTCACCGTGCTGGGACCCGGACAGCAGCACCCCCCGGCTGTCAGGTTCTCACACCTGTACAAACATTCATCTCCTGCTCCTCAGCTTAGGGGAACATCACAAGTTGCTGATCCACGTATAAATGATGAAAATAAATTTGTTTCTGCAGCAAAGGAAGGACAGAACAGACCGAGGTTGTGCAACTCACACCTACCTCATCAACCTGGGAGAGCACATTTCATCCTTTTCAAGTTGTCTGTAACACCAGATATCCGTGTAGCAGGATATAGCTATGGACCCGTGAACCCTGGAAACAACTAAAAGCTTTAGTTCCAACTTCTCCAAGACACAGAGCGTTCAGTGAGCCAGACAAGTCCAGAGTTGCTGGTGCCCAGTGAGCCACTTGTGTCTCCACCACAGGAAAAGCGAAGCGTCTCTCGTGGTGGGGCTGGCTGAGCTCTGAGTAGCAACATCTGCTCCATGGAGGCAGCTTCTGCCTCTTGCCATTTCTCCAGCACCCATTCCATGACCTGCTTGCATTGCTCGGTGCTGGTTCCAGCCCCAGACTTGCTCTTGAGCACAGTGGCCACTGCCAACTGTTGGCCAGCTTTACTTGCAGGACCAGCCCCCTTCTCCTCAAACACCCATGTGCATTATGTTTCTGCAAATCCACCTCCCCATTTTTACATTTTAACCCCCTATTTTTATAGGGCAGAGTACAATTAAAGGCTCCACCAGGCAGCCCAGCACAGCTGGCCCAGCACCCCAGTCAGCGTACTCACCGGAGCTGGTCTGTTCCATCTTCACGAGCTGCAAGCCCAGGTCTGGGAGGAGACTGCACGGCACAGACCTACTCCTCTGGCAAGGCCCACACGCTGTCCATGAGACACGTAACTCAAGCTCTTGATCTTCTGGGCAGAGAGGGATGGACCTGACATGAGAACACTGCAGCCAACAGTGGATTCAACTCGTCCAACAGTGCGTCTCCTGGTGCGGCCTCTGCTCTGCAGCCCTGGATTCAAAACCTCTAAACCTTAATCCATGGTTGAGGAAACCCACAAAGGCCACAGACTGGAGTGCTACATGGTTACATCAACTATGAGATTTTAGACTCCTTTCAAAGAAGTGGCTCAAAAGTCAGCCGACTGGTACGTAGACACAAGTCTGTTGTGCCCAGAAGTTTCCTAATGCTCTTTTATTAGAAACCAGGGAGCCCAAGATTGCCCTGGTGCTCTTCCCTGTTATAAACCAGACTCTGAAGTATTAAGTGAACTATGCATGAGCAAAGAACTCCAACTGATGCAGAGTTTAAAACTAGGTTTACAATTTCCTATTTTATTGGCATGGATGTATTTCTAAACTTAAAAACCCTTCTGGCAAGTTATCTCAATTTCTTATGACAAAATTTCTCACAACACACAAATATTTACAACATATACATAATTTTTCAGTCTTTTACAACTGGTTCTTAAAAGACAAACAATTTATAGGTTACCACAGAACAAAAGCTGTGACTTCGTTGTTTTTAATTTCATAAAACTATCATAAGTTAAAGTGAATAGATTTTCTTTAAATTCCTTGTAGCATTTTACAAGTGCAACAGAAAAATATGAAGAACCAATTTAGGATAGCTGCAGTTCATTGGATAAATGTCGCCCGTTGTAATCACATTATTTCACAGCAAGTTCTTGAAAAAATAAGCACCAATCATTCTTGCAAAGAACAATTTTATCTAAAAGTATTGAAAAGTGTTAAATACAAGGTGTTTAATTTACATAACAAGCAATAAATACACCATATCCAAACTTTTATTCTGCATACTGCTACCCTTGTACATATAATGTACTAAAAAGTCAGCAAATTGTCAACACCTTTTCTTTTTTTTTTTCCCCTCTTTTTTTTAAAGAAATCAATTTGACTTCCAACCAGCAGTTTGCTACTATAACAAAGGCCACAAACAGTACGTCTGGGACAGCATACAGTGTTAAAACTGACAAACTGAGGGGGGAAAAGAACCCAAAACATCTAGCAAAGAAACTGAAAAGCTGTAGATTGTTGCTGGTGATATTAACATAGACTAGAAAAATCTTAATATGCTGCTACTATGATTTTTTTTAAGTTGTTTAGTCAAATATGGCAAGAGCAAACTACCGCTTTCCCTGGCCAGAAATGGTTCTGTAGCCACACTGTGTCCTCATTGTCCTGCACAGAAAGATTTGATGCCATTTTGTAACTTTGCTCGAGCCTTTATTTTACAACAGAGCATTACCTCTAACTCAGAATTGCACATAAGAAGGCTATTAAAAAGTACAATAAAAATCTGCACAAATCAGACTTAAGAAGAGTCAGTATGCTGTACACTTTCTACAATAGTATGTTGGTAGGTGAATAAACAAAGAAGTGCTGCCACTAAGTTTTCAGAAAGTTCTTCAGTTGAGGAATAGTCAAATGGAATTTTCCCCCCCTGCCCCTTGTTGTGGGTTGGGTTTATTTTTTGGTGATTTTTTTTTTTTTTAAGATTTTATTTAATTTTTTTTTAAAAATGACATCCAGGTCAGTTTAAGACCTATAAGCTTATGCATTGAGCCTTAAAGACTGATCTTCTCTCCTCCTGGAAGAAATATCAATATCTATTGAATCCTTGCCAACAATAAGCCTTAATCTCTTTGCTGGAGGAAGGGGAATAAAGTCATCGAATTCATCATCATAGTCATCTTCCTCTTCATCATCCTCCTCTGATGAGGACTCATCTGCTGTTTCCTCTTCATAGTGCCCATAATCATCTACTTCCATCCGTGACTCCAAAAGCGACAGAGTTTCGCCACAGCACACCCCGTTCTCACGGAGGTCCTCGGGGTACACCCCTCTGCTTTCTTCCTCTCGCTTCAGCTGTATTTTTAGTTTTGTTGAACTATTGCCTGATCCTGAGTTAAACCCATTGTTTAGCTTTGCTACATATAAATTGTTATCTTTTTCATGGTCTTTACTTAATTTGATGCTGATCTTTGACGAATTCATTCCATCGCTTTCTTGGTCGTTCGCCTTGCTGCTGCTATCATGGCGCCTACGAAGAGTCAGTTTAGGGATCCCAGAGCTATTTTCAAGGATAAGCTGTGCATCATACCTCGTGATTCGTCTTTTCTTTTTACTTTTTGCAGTTCTAAAGCTGTCTTTTGCTTTAAAATTGTCAGATGTTACCACAGAGCAGCCACCGGAGCCGGGGATGCAGTCTGTATAGCCGACAGGCGCGCCCGCCGCGTCGTTCCCCTCCCCGAGTTCTGAATGAGAACTAATCAGACCCGGTACTTCATCTTTCACAGCTGCATTGTGCATAGTATCAGTTTCCTCCGGTTTTGCAGATGGTTTAACAAGTCTTCCTTGTCGAGATTTCTTTCTCGCCAGGCCCGTGTCGCTTTTCTGGCCCCTCCCCTCCCCTCTGAGCGCCGGCCCGGGGGCCGC